TCCTCATCTACCATACCAATCCCCTCTTCCTCCTCTTCGACATCCATCCCTTCCTCTTCCACTTCGATACCCATCCCTTCATCATCCTTTACCATACGCATACCTTCCTCCCCTATACCATACCCATCCTCTTCCTATTACATACCCATCCCTTCCCCCTCCTCTTCCATACCCATCCCTTCATCCTCCCCTACCATACCCATCACTTCCTCCTCCTCCTCCTCTACCATACCCATCCCTTCTTGTTCCTCTTCCATACCCATCCCTTCCTCCTTCTATACCATACCTATCCTCCTCTTCCTATTAAATACCCATCCCTCCCTCTTCCTCCCCTCTACCATACCAATCCTTTCCTCCTCCGCTGCCATATCCATCACTTCCTCCTCTACCATACCCATCCCTTCCTCATTCACCATACCCATCCCTTCCTCCTCCTCCTCCTCTACTATACCCATCCCTTCTTGTTCCTCTTCCATAGCAATCCCTTCACCCCCTTCTACCATACCCATTCCTTCCTGCTCCATCTCCTCTACCATACCCATCCCTTCTACCTCCTCTACCATACCCATCCCTTCTTTTTCCTATTCCATAACAACCCCTTCACCCCCTTGTACCATACCCATTCCTTCTTGCTTCAATACCCATCCCTTAACCCTCTTCTACCATACCCATCCCTTCCTCCTCCTCCTCCTCTACCATAAGAAATCCCTTCCTCCTCATCTACCATACCAATCCCCTCTTCCTCCTCTTCGACATCCATACCTTCCTCTTCCACTTCGATACCCATCCCTTCATCATCCTCTTCCATACGCATACCTTCCTCCCCTATACCATACCCATCCTCCTCTTCCTATTACATACCCATCCCTTCCCCCTCCTCTTCGATACCCATCCCTTCCCCCTCCTATACCATACCCATCCCTTCTCTTCTCCCATACCCATCCCTTCACCCGCCTCCACCATACCCATCCCTTCACCCGCTTCCACCATACCCATCCCTTCACCCGTCTCCACCATACCCAACCCTTCATCCTCCTCTACCTTACCCATTCCCTCATCCTCCTCTACCATACCCATCCCTTCCTCCTCCTCTTCCATACCCATCACTTTGCCATCCTCTATCATACCCATCCCTTCCTCCTCCTCCTCCTCTAACTTACCCATCCTTTCCTCCTCCTCCTCTACCATACCCATCCCTTCCTCCTCTAACTTACCCATCCTTTCCTCCTCCTCCTTTACCATACCCATCCCTTCCTCCTCCTCTTGCATACCCATCACTTTGCCATCCTCTACCATATCCATCCCTTCCTCTTCCTCTTCCATACCAAGTCCTTCACCCCCTTCTACCATACCCATTCATCCTACTCCATCTCCTCTATCATACCCATCCCTTCCTCCTCCTCCTCATCCTCTAACTTACCCATCCTTTCCTCCTCCTCCTCTACCATACCCATCCCTTCCTCCTCTACCTTACCCATCCCTTCCTCCTCCTCCTCTACCATACCCATCCCTTCCTCCTCCTCCTCTACCATACCCATCCCTACACCCTGTTCCTCTTCCATAGAAATCCCTTCACCCCCTTCTACCATACCCATTCCTTCCTGCTTCTATACCCATCCCTTCACCGTCTTCTACCATACCCATCCCTTCCTCCACCTCCTCTACCATACCAATCCCTTCCTCCTCCTCTACCATACCCATCCCTACACCCTCCTCATCCATATCCATCCCCTCCTCCACTACCATGCCCATCCTCCTCTTCCTATTACATACCCATCCCTTCCGCCTCCTCCACCTATACCATACCCATCATTTCCTCCTTCTCGACCATACCGATCCCTTCCTCCTCCTCCTATACAATACCAATCCCTTCAACCTCCTCTGCCATACCCATCCCTTTCTCTTCCTCTTCCACACCCGTCCCTTCCTCATCCTATACCACACCTATCCCTTCCTCCTCCTCTTCCATACCCATCCCTTCACCCTCCTCCACCCTACCCATCACTTCCTCCTCCTCTACCTTACACACCCCTTCCTCTTCAACTAACATACCCATCCCTTCCTGCTCCATCTATCATACCATCCCTTCCTCATCCGTTACCATATCCATCACTTCCTCCTCCTCTACCATACCCATTCCTTCCTCATTCACCATACCCATTCCTTCATCCTCCTCCTCCTCTACTATACCCATCCCTTCTTGTTCCTCTTCGATAGCAATCCCTTCACCCCATTCCTTCCTGCTCCATCTCCTCTACCATACCCATCCCTTCTACCTCCTCTACCATATCCATCCCTTCCTCCTCTTCCATACCCATCCCTTCAACCTCCTCTACCATACCCATCCCTTCCTTTTCCTCTTCCATAACAACCCCTTCACCCCCTTCTACCATACCCATTCCTTCCTGCTCCATCTCCTTTACCATACCTATCCCTTCCTCCTCTACCATACCCATACCTTCTTCCTCCTCCTCTACCATCTCATCCCTTCCTGTTCCTCTTCCAAAGAAATCCCTTCGCCCCTTCTACCATACCCATTCCTTCCTGCTTCCATACCCATCCCTTCACCCTTTTCTACCATACCTATCCCTTCCTCCTACTCCTCTACCATACCAATCCCTTCCTCCTCCTCTACCACACCAAACCCTTCCTCCTCCTCTTCCACATCCATCCCTTCCTCTTCCTCTTCCTCTTCGATACCCATCCCTTCATCCTCCTCTTCCATACCCATCCCTTCTTCCTCCTATACCATACCTATCCTCCTCTTCCTATTACATACCCATCCCTTCCACCTACTCCCCCTCAACATACCAATCCTTTCCTCCTCCGCTACCATATCCATCACTTCCTCCTCCTCCTCTACCCGTGAAGATCCGGGGTAGAATAGGTCTTCAGCAACCCATGCTTGCCGTAAAAGACGACTGCTTGTCGTAAAAGGCGACTTACGGGATCGGGTGGTCAGGCTCGCTGACTTGGTTGATGCATGTCATCCATCCTAATTGCGTGGATCGATGCTCATGTTGTCAATCACTGGATTGTCTGGTCCAGACTCGATTATTTACAGACTGCCGTCATATAGCTGGAATATTGCTGAGTGCGGCGTTAAACATCAAACCAACCAACCAACCTCCTCTACCATACCCATCCCTTCCCCATTTACCATACCCATCCATTCTTGTTCCTCTTCCATAACAACCCCTTCTACCCCTTCTACCATACCCATTCCTTCCTGCTCCATCTCCTCTACCATACCCATCCCTTCCTCATCCTCTACCACACCAATCCCTTCCTCCTCCTCTTCCATATCCATCCCTTCCTCTTCCTCTTGGATACCCATCCCTTCATCCTCCTCTTCCATACCCATCCCTTCCTCCTCCTTTTCCATACCCATCCTCCTCTTCCTATTAAATACCCATCCCTCCCTCCTCCTCCCCCTCTACCATACCAATCCTTTCCTCCTCCGCTACCATATCCATCACTTCCTCCTCCTCTACCATACCCATCCTTTCCTCCTCCTCTTCCATACCCATCCCTTCCCCCTCCTCTTCCATACACATCCTTCATCCTCCCCTACCATACCCATCACTTCCTCCTCCTCCTCCTCTACCATACCCATCCCTTCTTGTTCCTCTTCCATACCCATCCCTTCCTCCTTCTATACCATACCTATCCTCCTCTTCCTATTACATACCCATCCCTTCCACCTACTCCCCCTCAACATACCAATCCTTTCCTCCTCCGCTACCATATCCATCACTTCCTTCTCCTCCTCTACCATACCCATCCCTTCCTCATTTACCATACCCATCCCTTCCTCCTCCTCCTCCTCTACTATACCCATCCGTTCTTGTTCCTCTTCCATAACAACCCCTTCACCCCCTTCTACCATACCCATTCCTTCATTCACCATCTCCTCTACCATACCAATCCCTTCCTCCTCCTCTACCACACCAATCCCTTCCTCCTCCTCTTCGACATCCATCCCTTCCTCTTCCTCTTCGATACCCATCCCTTCAACTTCCTCTACCATACCCGTCCCTTCCTCCTTCTCCTGTACCATACCCATCCCTTCCTGTTCCTCTCCCATAGCAATCCCTTCAACCCCGTCTACCATACCCATTCCTTCATTCACCATCTCCTCTACCATACCAATCCCTTCCTCCTCCTCTACCATGCCCATCCCCTCCTCCTCCTTTTCCATACCCATCCTCCTCTTCCTATTAAATACCCATCCCTCCCTCCTCCTCCCCTCTACCATACCAATCCTTTCCTCCTCCGCTGCCATATCCATCACTTCCTCCTCCTCTACCATACCCATCCCTTCCTTATTCACCATACCCATCCCTTCCTCCTCCTCCTCCTCTACTATACCCATCCCTTCTTGTTCCTCTTCCATAGCAATCCCTTCACCCCCTTCTACCATACCCATTCCTTCCTGCTCCATCTCCTCTACCATACCCATCCCTTCTTTTTCCTATTCCATAACTTCCTTCCTGCTTCAATACCCATCCCTTAACCCTCTTCTACCATACCCATCCCTTCCTCCTCCTCTACCATAAGAAATCCCTTCCTCCTCATCTACCATACCAATCCCCTCTTCCTCCTCTTCGACATCCATCCCTTCCTCTTCCACTTCGATACCCATCCCTTCATCATCCTCTTCCATACGCATACCTTCCTCCCCTATACCATACCCATCCTCCTCTTCCTATTACATACCCATCCCTTCCCCCTCCTCTTCCATACCCATCCCTTCATCCTCCCCTACCCATCACTTCTTGTTCCTCTTCCATACCCATCCCTTCCTCCTTCTATACCATACCTATCCTCCTCTTCCTATTAAATACCTATCCCTCCCTCCTCCTCCCCTCTACCATACCAATCCTTTCCTCCTCCGCTGCCATATCCATCACTTCCTCCTCCTCTACCATACCCATCCCTTCCTCATTCACCATACCCATCCCTTCCTCCTCCTCCTCCTCTTCTATACCCATCCCTTCATGTTCCTCTTCCATAGCAATCCGTTCACCCCCTTCTACCATACCCATTCCTTCCTGCTCCATCTCCTCTACCATACCCATCCCTTCTATCTCCTCTACCATACCCATCCCTTCTTTTTCCTATTCCATAACAACCCCTTCACCCCCTTCTACCATACCCATTCCTTCCTGCTTCAATACCCATCCCTTAACCCTCTTCTACCATACCCATCCCTTCCTCCTCCTCTTCGATACCCATCCCTTCAACTTCCTCTACCATACCCGTCCCTTCCTCCTACTCCTGTACCATACCCATCCCTTCCTGTTCCTCTCCCATAACAATCCCTTCAACCCTGTCTACCATACCCATTCCTTCCTCCACCATCTCCTCTACCATACCCATCCCTTCCTCCTCCTCTACCACACCAATCCCTTCCTCCTCTTCTTCCACATCCATCCCTTCCTCTTCTTCTTCGATACCCATCCCTTCATCCTCCTCTTCCATACCCATCCCTTCATCCTCCTTTTCCATACCCATCCTCCTCTTCCTATTAAATACCCATCCCTCCCTCCTCCTCCCCCTCTACCATACCAATCCTTTCCTCCTCCGCTACCATATCCATCACTTCCTCCTCCTCTACCATACCCATTCCTTCCTCATTCACCATACCCATTCCTTCCTCCTCCTCCTCCTCTACTATACCCATCCCTGCTTGTTCCTCTTCCATAGCAATCCCTTCACCCCCTTTTACCATACCCATTCCTTCCTGCTCCATCTCCTCTACCATACCCATCCCTTCTACCTCCTCTACCATATCCATCCGTTCCTCCTCCTCTTCCATACCCATCCCTTCAACCTCCTCTACCATACCCATCCCTTCCTTTTCCTCTTCCATAACAACCCCTTCACCCCCTTCTACCATACCCATTCCTTCCTGCTCCATCTCCTTTACCATACCTATCCCTTCCTCCTCTACCATACCCATACCTTCTTCCTCCTCCTCTACCATCTCATCCCTTCCTGTTCCTCTTCCAAAGAAATCCCTTCGCCCCTTCTACCATACCCATTCCTTCCTGCTTCCATACCCATCCCTTCACCCTTTTCTACCATACCCATCCCTTCCTCCTACTCCTCTACCATACCAATCCCTTCCTCCTCCTCTACCACACCAAACCCTTCCTCCTCCTCTTCCATATCCATCCCTTCCTCTTCCTCTTCGATACCCATCCCTTCATCCTCCTCTTCCATACCCATCCCTTCTTCCTCCTATACCATACCTATCCTCCTCTTCCTATTACATACCCATCCCTTCCACCTACTCCCCCTCAACATACCAATCCTTTCCTCCTCCGCTACCATATCCATCACTTCCTCCTCCTCCTCTACCCGTGAAGATCCGGGGTAGAATAGGTCTTCAGCAACCCATGCTTGCCGTAAAAGACGACTGCTTGTCGTAAAAGGCGACTTACGGGATCGGGTGGTCAGGCTCGCTGACTTGGTTGATGCATGTCATCCATCCTAATTGCGTGGATCGATGCTCATGTTGTCAATCACTGGATTGTCTGGTCCAGACTCGATTATTTACAGACCGCCGTCATATAGCTGGAATTTTGCTGAGTGCGGCGTTAAACATCAAACCAACCAACCTCATTTACCATACCCATCCATTCTTGTTCCTCTTCCATAACAACCCCTTCTACCCCTTCTACCATACCCATTCCTTCCTGCTCCATCTCCTCTACCATACCAATCCCTTCCTCCTCCTCTTCGATACCCATCCCTTCAACTTCCTCTACCATACCCGTCCTTCCTCCTCCTCCTGTACCATACCCATCCCTTCCTGTTCCTCTCCCATAGCAATCCCTTCAACCCCGTCTACCATACCGATTCCTTCCTCCACCATCTCCTCTACCATACCAATCCCTTCCTCCTCCTCTACCACACCAATCCCTTCCTCTTCCTCTTCGATACCCATCCCTTCATCCTCCTCTTCCATACCCATCCCTTCCTCCTCCTTTTCCATACCCATCCTCCTCTTCCTATTAAATACCCATCCCTCCCTCCTCCTCCCCCTCTACCATACCAATCCTTTCCTCCTCCGCTACCATATCCATCCTTTCCTCCTCCTCTACCATACCCATCCTTTCCTCCTCCTCTTCCATACCCATCCCTTCCCCCTCCTCTTCCATACACATCCCTTCATCCTCCCCTACCATACCCATCACTTCCTCCTCCTCCTCCTCTACCATACCCATCCCTTCTTGTTCCTCTTCCATACCCATCCCTTCCTCCTTCTATACCATACCTATCCTCCTCTTCCTATTACATACCCATCCCTTCCACCTACTCCCCCTCAACATACCAATCCTTTCCTCCTCCGCTACCATATCCATCACTTCCTCCTCCTCCTCTACCATACCCATCCCTTCCTCATTAACCATACCCATCCCTTCCTCCTCCTCCTCCTCTACTATACCCATCCGTTCTTGTTCCTCTTCCATAACAACCTCTTCTCCCCCTTCTACCATACCCATTCCTTCCTGCTCCATCTCCTCTACCATACCCATCCCTTCCTCCTCCTCTTCGATACCCATCCCTTCAACTTCCTCTACCATACCCGTCCCTTCCTCCTTCTCCTGTACCATACCCATCCCTTCCTGTTCCTCTCCCATAGCAATCCCTTCAACCCCGTCTACCATACCCATTCCTTCATTCACCATCTCCTCTACCATACCAATCCCTTCCTCCTCCTCTACCACACCAATCCCTTCCTCCTCCTCTTCCACGTCCATCCCTTCCTCTTCCTCTTCGATACCCATCCCTTCAACTTCCTCTACCATACCCGTCCCTTCCTCCTTCTCCTGTACCATACCCATCCTTCCTGTTCCTCTCCCATAGCAATCCCTTCAACCCCGTCTACCATACCCATTCATTCATTCACCATCTCCTCTACCATACCAATCCCTTCCTCCTCCTCTACCACACCAATCCCTTCCTCCTCCCTTTCCACATCCATCCCTTCCTCTTCCACTTCGATACCCATCCCTTGATCCTCCTCTTCCATACCCATCCCTTCCTCCTCCTTTTCCATACCCATCCTCCTCTTCCTATTAAATACCCATCCCTCCCTCCTCCTCCCCTCTACCATACCAATCCTTTCCTCCTCCGCTGCCATATCCATCACTTCCTCCTCCTCTACCATACCCATCCCTTCCTCATTCACCATACCCATCCCTTCCTCCTCCTCCTCCTCTGCTATACCCATCCCTTCTTGTTCCTCTTCCATAGCAATCCCTTCACCCCCTTCTACCATACCCATTCCTTCCTGCTCCATCTCCTCTACCATACCCATCCCTTCTACCTCCTCTACCATACCCATCCCTTCTTTTTCCTATTCCTTAACAACCCCTTCACCCCCTTCTACCATACCCATTCCTTCCTGCTTCAATACCCATCCCTTAACCCTCTTCTACCATACCCATCCCTTCCTCCTCATCCTCCTCTACCATAAGAAATCCCTTCCTCCTCATCTACCATACCAATCCCCTCTTCCTCCTCTTCGACATCCATCCCTTCCTCTTCCACTTCGATACCCATCCCTTCATCATCCTCTACCATACACATACCTTCCTCCCCTATACCATACCCATCCTCCTCTTCCTATTACATACCCATACCTTCCCCCTCCTCTTCCATACCCATCCCTTCATCCTCCTCACCATACCCATCACTTCCTCCTCCTCCTCCTCTACCATACCCATCCCTTCTTGTTCCTCTTCCATACCCATCCCTTCCTCCTTCTATACCATACCTATCCTCCTCTTCCTATTAAATACCCATCCCTCCCTCTTCCTCCCCTCTACCATACCAATCCTTTCCTCCTCCGCTGCCATATCCATCACTTCCTCCTCTACCATACCCATCCCTTCCTCATTCACCATACCCATCCCTTCCTCCTCCTCCTCCTCTACTATACCCATCCCTTCTTGTTCCTCTTCCATAGCAATCCCTTCACCCCCTTCTACCATACCCATTGCTTCCTGCTCCATCTCCTCTACCATACCCATCCCTTCTACCTCCTCTACCATACCCATCCCTTCTTTTTCCTATTCCATAACAACCCCTTCACCCCCTTCTACCATACCCATTCCTTCCTGCTTCAATACCCATCCCTTAACCCTCTTCTACCATACCCATCCCTTCCTCCTCCTCCTCCTCTACCATAAGAAATCCCTTCCTCCTCATCTACCATACCAATCCCCTCTTCCTCCTCTTCGACATCCATACCTTCCTCTTCCACTTCGATACCCATCCCTTCATCATCCTCTTCCATACGCATACCTTCCTCCCCTATACCATACCCATCCTCCTCTTCCTATTACATACCCATTCTTTCCTCCTCCTCCCCCTATACCATACCCATCCCTTCCCCCTCCTCTTCCATACCCATCCCTTCCCCCTCCTCTTCCATACCCATCTCTTCATTCTCCCCTACCATACCCATCACTTCCTCCTCCTCCTCCTCTACCATACCCATCCCTTCTTGTTCCTCTTCCATAACAATCCCTTTACCCCCTTCTACCATACCAATTCCGTACTGCTCCTTCTCCTCTACCATACCCATCCCTTCTACCTACTCTACCATACCCATCCCTTCCTCCTCCTATTCCATACCCATCCCTTCAACCTCCCATCCCTTCAACCTCCTCTACCATACCCATCCCTTCCTTTTCCTCTTCCATAAAAACCCCTTCACCCCCTTCTACCATACCCATTCCTTCCTGCTCCATCTCTACCATACCCACCACTTCCTCCTCCTCTTCCATACCCATTCCTTACTTTTTCTCTACCATACCCATCCATTCCTCCTCTTCCCCTTCTACCGTACCCATTCCTTCCTCCTCCTCGACCATACCCATCCCTTCCTCCTCCTCCCCCTCGACCATACCCATCCCTGCCTTCGCCTCCTCTACCATACCCATACATTCCTCCTCTTCCCCCTCTACCATACCCATTCCTTCCTTCTCCTCGACCATACCCATCCCTTCCTCCTCCTCCCCCTCTACCATACCCATCCTTTCCTCCTCCTCGACCATACCCATCCCTGCCTTCAACTTCCTCTGACATACCAATCCCTTTCTCTTCCTCTTCGAAACCCTTCCTCTCCTTCTCATATACCATACCCATCCCCTCCTCCTCCTAAACCATACCCATCCTTTCCTCCTCCTCTTCCATACCCATCCCTTCCCCCTCCTCTTCCATACCCATTCCTTCAACCTCCTCTACCATACCCATCCCTCCCTATTCCTCTTCCATAACAATCCCTTCACCCCATTCTTCCATTCCCATTCCTTCCTGCTCCATCTCTACCATACCCGTAATTTCCTCCTACTCCATACCCATTCCCTCCTCCTCCTCTACAATACCCATCCCTACACCCTCCTCTTCCACATCCACCCCTTCCTCTTCCTCTTCCATACCCATCCCTTCATCCTCCTCTTCGATACCCATCCCTTCCCCCTCCTATACCATACCCATCCCTTCTTCTTCTCCCATACCCATCCCTTCACCCGCCTCCACCATACCCATCCCTTCACCCGCCTCCACCATACCCATCCCTTCACCCGCCTCCACCATACCCATCCCTTCCCCCGTCTCCACCATACCCATCCCTTCATCCTCCTCTACCTTACCCATTCCTTCCTCCTCATCCTCCTCTACCATAAGAAATCCCTTCCTCCTCATCTACCATACCAATCCCCTCTTCCTCCTCTTCGACATCCATCCCTTCCTCTTCCACTTCGATACCCATCCCTTCATCATCCTTTACCATACGCATACCTTCCTCCCCTATACCATACCCATCCTCTTCCTATTACATACCCATCCCTTCCCCCTCCTCTTCCATACCCATCCCTTCATCCTCCCCTACCATACCCATCACTTCCTCCTCCTCCTTCTATACCATACCTATCCTCCTCTTCCTATTAAATACCCATCCCTCCCTCTTCCTCCCCTCTACCATACCAATCCTTTCCTACTCCGCTGCCATATCCATCACTTCCTCCTCTACCATACCCATCCCTTCCTCATTCACCATACCCATCCCTTCCTCCTCCTCCTCCTCTACTATACCCATCCCTTCTTGTTCCTCTTCCATAGCAATCCCTTCACCCCCTTCTACCATACCCATTCCTTCCTGCTCCATCTCCTCTACCATACCCATCCCTTCTACCTCCTCTACCATACCCATCCCTTCTTTTTCCTATTCCATAACAACCCCTTCACCCCCTTGTACCATACCCATTCCTTCTTGCTTCAATACCCATCCCTTAACCCTCTTCTACCATACCCATCCCTTCCTCCTCCTCCTCCTCTACCATAAGAAATCCCTTCCTCCTCATCTACCATACCAATCCCCTCTTCCTCCTCTTCGACATCCATACCTTCCTCTTCCACTTCGATACCCATCCCTTCATCATCCTCTTCCATACGCATACCTTCCTCCCCTATACCATACCCATCCTCCTCTTCCTATTACATACCCATCCCTTCCCCCTCCTCTTCGATACCCATCCCTTCCCCCTCCTATACCATACCCATCCCTTCTCTTCTCCCATACCCATCCCTTCACCCGCCTCCACCATACCCATCCCTTCACCCGCTTCCACCATACCCATCCCTTCACCCGTCTCCACCATACCCAACCCTTCATCCTCCTCTACCTTACCCATTCCCTCATCCTCCTCTACCATACCCATCCCTTCCTCCTCCTCTTCCATACCCATCACTTTGCCATCCTCTATCATACCCATCCCTTCCTCCTCCTCCTCCTCTAACTTACCCATCCTTTCCTCCTCCTCCTCTACCATACCCATCCCTTCCTCCTCTAACTTACCCATCCTTTCCTCCTCCTCCTCTACCATACCCATCCCTTCCTCCTCCTCTTGCATACCCATCACTTTGCCATCCTCTACCATATCCATCCCTTCCTCTTCCTCTTCCATACCAAGTCCTTCACCCCCTTCTACCATACCCATTCATCCTACTCCATCTCCTCTATCATACCCATCCCTTCCTCCTCCTCCTCATCCTCTAACTTACCCATCCTTTCCTCCTCCTCCTCTACCATACCCATCCCTTCCTCCTCTACCTTACCCATCCCTTCCTCCTCCTCCTCTACCATACCCATCCCTTCCTCCTCCTCCTCTACCATACCCATCCCTACACCCTGTTCCTCTTCCATAGAAATCCCTTCACCCCCTTCTACCATACCCATTCCTTCCTGCTTCTATACCCATCCCTTCACCGTCTTCTACCATACCCATCCCTTCCTCCACCTCCTCTACCATACCAATCCCTTCCTCCTCCTCTACCATACCCATCCCTACACCCTCCTCATCCATATCCATCCCCTCCTCCACTACCATGCCCATCCTCCTCTTCCTATTACATACCCATCCCTTCCGCCTCCTCCACCTATACCATACCCATCATTTCCTCCTTCTCGACCATACCGATCCCTTCCTCCTCCTCCTATACAATACCAATCCCTTCAACCTCCTCTGCCATACCCATCCCTTTCTCTTCCTCTTCCACACCCGTCCCTTCCTCATCCTATACCACACCTATCCCTTCCTCCTCCTCTTCCATACCCATCCCTTCACCCTCCTCCACCCTACCCATCACTTCCTCCTCCTCTACCTTACACACCCCTTCCTCTTCAACTAACATACCCATCCCTTCCTGCTCCATCTATCATACCATCCCTTCCTCATCCGTTACCATATCCATCACTTCCTCCTCCTGTACCATACCCATTCCTTCCTCATTCACCATACCCATTCCTTCATCCTCCTCCTCCTCTACTATACCCATCCCTTCTTGTTCCTCTTCGATAGCAATCCCTTCACCCCATTCCTTCCTGCTCCATCTCCTCTACCATACCCATCCCTTCTACCTCCTCTACCATATCCATCCCTTCCTCCTCTTCCATACCCATCCCTTCAACCTCCTCTACCATACCCATCCCTTCCTTTTCCTCTTCCATAACAACCCCTTCACCCCCTTCTACCATACCCATTCCTTCCTGCTCCATCTCCTTTACCATACCTATCCCTTCCTCCTCTACCATACCCATACCTTCTTCCTCCTCCTCTACCATCTCATCCCTTCCTGTTCCTCTTCCAAAGAAATCCCTTCGCCCCTTCTACCATACCCATTCCTTCCTGCTTCCATACCCATCCCTTCACCCTTTTCTACCATACCTATCCCTTCCTCCTACTCCTCTACCATACCAATCCCTTCCTCCTCCTCTACCACACCAAACCCTTCCTCCTCCTCTTCCACATCCATCCCTTCCTCTTCCTCTTCCTCTTCGATACCCATCCCTTCATCCTCCTCTTCCATACCCATCCCTTCTTCCTCCTATACCATACCTATCCTCCTCTTCCTATTACATACCCATCCCTTCCACCTACTCCCCCTCAACATACCAATCCTTTCCTCCTCCGCTACCATATCCATCACTTCCTCCTCCTCCTCTACCCGTGAAGATCCGGGGTAGAATAGGTCTTCAGCAACCCATGCTTGCCGTAAAAGACGACTGCTTGTCGTAAAAGGCGACTTACGGGATCGGGTGGTCAGGCTCGCTGACTTGGTTGATGCATGTCATCCATCCTAATTGCGTGGATCGATGCTCATGTTGTCAATCACTGGATTGTCTGGTCCAGACTCGATTATTTACAGACTGCCGTCATATAGCTGGAATATTGCTGAGTGCGGCGTTAAACATCAAACCAACCAACCAACCTCCTCTACCATACCCATCCCTTCCCCATTTACCATACCCATCCATTCTTGTTCCTCTTCCATAACAACCCCTTCTACCCCTTCTACCATACCCATTCCTTCCTGCTCCATCTCCTCTACCATACCCATCCCTTCCTCATCCTCTACCACACCAATCCCTTCCTCCTCCTCTTCCATATCCATCCCTTCCTCTTCCTCTTGGATACCCATCCCTTCATCCTCCTCTTCCATACCCATCCCTTCCTCCTCCTTTTCCATACCCATCCTCCTCTTCTTATTAAATACCCATCCCTCCCTCCTCCTCCCCCTCTACCATACCAATCCTTTCCTCCTCCGCTACCATATCCATCACTTCCTCCTCCTCTACCATACCCATCCTTTCCTCCTCCTCTTCCATACCCATCCCTTCCCCCTCCTCTTCCATACACATCCTTCATCCTCCCCTACCATACCCATCACTTCCTCCTCCTCCTCCTCTACCATACCCATCCCTTCTTGTTCCTCTTCCATACCCATCCCTTCCTCCTTCTATACCATACCTATCCTCCTCTTCCTATTACATACCCATCCCTTCCACCTACTCCCCCTCAACATACCAATCCTTTCCTCCTCCGCTACCATATCCATCACTTCCTTCTCCTCCTCTACCATACCCATCCCTTCCTCATTTACCATACCCATCCCTTCCTCCTCCTCCTCCTCTACTATACCCATCCGTTCTTGTTCCTCTTCCATAACAACCCCTTCACCCCCTTCTACCATACCCATTCCTTCATTCACCATCTCCTCTACCATACCAATCCCTTCCTCCTCCTCTACCACACCAATCCCTTCCTCCTCCTCTTCGACATCCATCCCTTCCTCTTCCTCTTCGATACCCATCCCTTCAACTTCCTCTACCATACCCGTCCCTTCCTCCTTCTCCTGTACCATACCCATCCCTTCCTGTTCCTCTCCCATAGCAATCCCTTCAACCCCGTCTACCATACCCATTCCTTCATTCACCATCTCCTCTACCATACCAATCCCTTCCTCCTCCTCTACCATGCCCATCCCCTCCTCCTCCTTTTCCATACCCATCCTCCTCTTCCTATTAAATACCCATCCCTCCCTCCTCCTCCCCTCTACCATACCAATCCTTTCCTCCTCCGCTGCCATATCCATCACTTCCTCCTCCTCTACCATACCCATCCCTTCCTTATTCACCATACCCATCCCTTCCTCCTCCTCCTCCTCTACTATACCCATCCCTTCTTGTTCCTCTTCCATAGCAATCCCTTCACCCCCTTCTACCATACCCATTCCTTCCTGCTCCATCTCCTCTACCATACCCATCCCTTCTTTTTCCTATTCCATAACTTCCTTCCTGCTTCAATACCCATCCCTTAACCCTCTTCTACCATACCCATCCCTTCCTCCTCCTCTACCATAAGAAATCCCTTCCTCCTCATCTACCATACCAATCCCCTCTTCCTCCTCTTCGACATCCATCCCTTCCTCTTCCACTTCGATACCCATCCCTTCATCATCCTCTTCCATACGCATACCTTCCTCCCCTATACCATACCCATCCTCCTCTTCCTATTACATACCCATCCCTTCCCCCTCCTCTTCCATACCCATCCCTTCATCCTCCCCTACCATACCCATCACTTCTTGTTCCTCTTCCATACCCATCCCTTCCTCCTTCTATACCATACCTATCCTCCTCTTCCTATTAAATACCTATCCCTCCCTCCTCCTCCCCTCTACCATACCAATCCTTTCCTCCTCCGCTGCCATATCCATCACTTCCTCCTCCTCTACCATACCCATCCCTTCCTCATTCACCATACCCATCCCTTCCTCCTCCTCCTCCTCTTCTATACCCATCCCTTCATGTTCCTCTTCCATAGCAATCCGTTCACCCCCTTCTACCATACCCATTCCTTCCTGCTCCATCTCCTCTACCATACCCATCCCTTCTATCTCCTCTACCATACCCATCCCTTCTTTTTCCTATTCCATAACAACCCCTTCACCCCCTTCTACCATACCCATTCCTTCCTGCTTCGATACCCATCCCTTAACCCTCTTCTACCATACCCATCCCTTCCTCCTCCTCCTCCTCTACCATAAGAAATCCCTTCTTCCTCATCTACCATACCAATCCCCTCTTCCTCCTCTTCGACATCCATCCCTTCCTCTTCCACTTCGATACCCATCCCTTCATCATCCTCTTCCATACGCATACCTTCCTCCCCTATCCCATACCCATCCTCCTCTTCCTATTACATACCCATCCCTTCCTCCTCCTCCCCCTATACCATACCCATCCTTTCCTCCTCCTCTTCCATACCCATCCCTTCCCCCTCCTCTTCCATACCCATCCCTTCATCCTCCCCTACCATACCCATCACTTCCTCCTCCTCCTCCTCTACCATACCCATCCCTTCTTGGTCCTCTTCCATAACAATCCCTTTACCCCCTTCTACCATACCCATTCCGTACTGCTCCTTCTCCTCTACCATACCCATCCCTTCTACCTCCTCTACCATACCCATCCCTTCCTCCTCCTATTCCATACCCATCCCTTCAACCTCCCATCCCTTCAACCTCCTCTACCATACCCAGCCCTTCCTTTTCCTCTTCCATAAAAACCCCTTCACCCCCTTCTACCATACCCATTCCTTCCTGCTCCATCTCTACCATACCCACCACTTCCTCCTCCTCTTCCATACCCATTCCTTACTTTTTCTCTACCATACCCATCCATTCCTCCTCTTCCCCTTTTACCGTACCCATTCCTTCCTCCTCCTCGACCATACCCATCCCTTCCTCCTCCTCCCCCTCGACCATACCCATCCCTGCCTTCGCCTCCTCTACCATACCCATACATTCCTCCTCTTCCCCCTCTACCATACCCATTCCTTCCTTCTCCTCGACCATACCCATCCCTTCCTCCTCCTCCCCCTCTACCATACCCATCCTTTCCTCCTCCTCGACCATACCCATCCCTGCCTTCAACTTCCTCTGACATACCAATCCCTTTCTCTTCCTCTTCGAAACCCTTCCTCTCCTTCTCATATACCATACCCATCCCCTCCTCCTCCTAAGCCATACCCATCCTTTCCTCCTCCTCTTCCATACCCATCCCTTCCCCCTCCTCTTCCAAACCCATTCCTTCAACCTCCTCTACCATACCCATCCCTCCCTATTCCTCTTCCATAACAATCCCTTCACCCCATTCTTCCATACCCATTCCTTCCTGCTCCATCTCTACCATACCCATAACTTCCTCCTCTTCCATACCCATTCCTTCCTCCACCTCTACAATACCCATCCCTACACCCTCCTCTTCCACATCCACCCCTTCCTCTTCCTCTTCCATACCCATCCCTTCATCCTCCTCTTCGATACCCATCCCTTCCCCCTCCTATACCATACCCATCCCTTCTTCTTCTCCCATACCCATCCCTTCACCCGCCTCCACCATACCCATCCCTTCACCCGCCTCCACCATACCCATCCCTTCACCCGCCTCCACCATACCCATCCCTTCACCCGTCTCCACCATACCCATCCCTTCATCCTCCTCTACCTTACCCATTCCTTCATCCTCCTCTACCATACCCATCCCTTCCTCCTCCTCTATCATACCCATCCCTTCCTCCTCCTCCTCCTCTAACTTACCCATCCTTTCCTCCTCCTCCTCCTCTACCATACCCATCCCTTCCTCCTCTACCTTACCCATCCCTTCCTCCTCCTCCTCTACCATACCCATCCCATCCTGTTCCTCTTCCATAGAAATCCCTTCACCCCCTTCTACCATACCCATTCCTTCCTGCTTCTATACCCATCCCTTCACCGTCTTCTACCATACCCATCCCTTCCTCCTCCTCCTCTACCATACCAATCCCTTCCTCCTCCTCTACCATACCCATCCCTACACCCTCCTCATCCATATCCATCCCCTCCTCCACTACCATGCCCATCCTCCTCTTCCTATTACATACCCATCCCTTCCGCCTCCTCCACCTATACCATACCCATCATTTCCTCCTTCTCGACCATACCGATCCCTTCCTCCTCCTCCTATACAATACCCATCCCTTCAACCTCCTCTGCCATACCCATCCCTTCCTCCTCCTCTTCCATACCCATCACTTTGCCATCCTCTATCATACCCATCCCTTCACCCTCCTCCTCCTCTAACTTACCCATCCTTTCCTCCTCCTCCTCTACCATACCCATCCCTTCCTCCTCTAACTTACCCATCCTTTCCTCCTCCTCCTCTACCATACCCATCCCTTCCTCCTCCTCTTCCATACCCATCACTTTGCCATCCTCTACCATATCCATCCCTTCCTCTTCCTCTTCCATACCAAGTCCTTCACCCCCTTCTACCATACCCATTCATCCTACTCCATCTCCTCTATCATACCCATCCCTTCCTCCTCCTCCTCCTCCTCTAACTTACCCATCCTTTCCTCCTCCTCCTCTACCATACCCATCCCTTCCTCCTCTACCTTACCCATCCCTTCCTCCTCCTCCTCT